GAGAGATCACAAATACCTCGAAATTATAATGACTTTTTTGAGATATTTCTTGACTGGGGCCCTCCTAGCAGCAATCCGATGTAAGCGGATTTCTTACTTAGGTGTTTAGCGAGTAAGAAAAATTCCTTCTTGCATTTTTATGCTTATTATCACTTCATATAAATTTACAAAAATCAGAAACTGATTGATCTGACTTTAAAATATGGAAGCCTAGAGAAGTAAAATATTTTACCATAATTATACCAACCTCTTGTATCACAACCTTGATTGCAACTATCACAATCCCTTATGCTGAAGTCAATATATAACCAAGAATATGTACAGAAAAACATCATGATTTCGAAAGAAAACGATACTCATCTGTTTGCCAAAATTGTTGTATTTTAGAGTTAGAATTTTAGAAATTTCTTAACCGAATCTAGCGAACTCTTCCACAGGATTGTCAACACTACCGTGCCCAACCCGCGAATATGGCTGTAAACATTGACTTGAACCAAGAAACTCTCAAAGGAAAACTCTCCGAGGGATGTGATGTTCAGTTCGTCCCTTGTAAAATAGAACACGATGGAGAAGCAGAAGTTGAGAAGTTCTTTAACACATACGTCAGAGAGGAAAAAAACGATGAGGAAGGGAAAGAAGAGAAAGGTAAGGATTGGTGGCCTTTCACCAACATTTCGTAAATTGCTATGTTTTTTGTCTTACACAGGCGAGAAGAAGACCTTTATCAGATATTTTGTTTAGTTACATTAATTGTTTCTACTTTTTTTTTTTTTTTTTTTTTTAATATCACCATATTTATTTGGTGTTTCTGTTCCAATTTGTAACTGAATCTTAAACATTTAGACAGACAGGGCATTAGTTGCAGGTAAATCATTAAGCTTTCTGGTTAAGCTATCAACACAAAGACCAGATTGTATAGTTTATTCTGTGCTGCAGAGATTTCAACCACACAAAGTGGGGATTGCTTGGCACCAGCCACCCCAAACCAGCCGCACACTAAAAGTTTATATCAGCACTGTTTTGTTATCTCAGCAGGTCATGCTCAATATCCCATGTAAATTTATCTTCTATGTTTGCCAACCAAGTAGCATTGCTAATTCAGTGTGTTTTAAACAGTTTGAAATGGCATTATAAATATATTAACAAAGTACCTTTTTTCCAGTTCTTAAAGGAACTTTGCGTGGTTACCCTCTCAGTGGCTGTGTAATAGATGTTCCAAAGGGTTACACTGGCATTGTTCTTAAGGAAACTAGACCTACCCTGAATTCAGAAGAAAGTCGCACAATGAGAGTCATTTCCCAGTTTAAACAGTTCACTTACTGGAACTGGGACCGCGAGCCATCTCGGGGGGACAAGTACCAACAGGCCATGGACTGGGCGGAGATAGCGGATGTAGTAAGTATATTTCGTGGTTCAATTTTACTAAGATGTGAGAAAAAGGAAATAGATTAGAATAAATTCTGCTTGGAAAAGGCTAGCTATTTATCTTCTTTCTCCAGCTATGGAGCTAGTTCTGTAAAATTGTAAAATTATTTTTTAGATAATTTCTGACTTTATATTCAAGCTTAAATGTATATAAAAATCATTGCCCAGAAAAATATTGTTTGGAATGTGTTTGATATAAGAGACATATTTTCATATTTCTGTATATCACAGTGACCTCCTGGCATATTACTGTGTTTTTACTATTCATACATCTAGATATTTAGAAGTTCATGTAAATAAACAATTTCTTTTTGTTTTTTACTATTAGAATCTGTTGTTGGAAATCTGCACATCCCCCCCCCCCCCCAAGCTGTGAATATTCTTAAGAGTAAAATTGGATTTAAATATGACTTCATTTCACCGTGATAGTGTTATCTTTCAATGATTTCTAGGGCAGTTTAGAGTTAACAGGTTCATGAAATTTGGCTTCATTTTCTCCACATTTTCAGAAGTAGACAGGATATGTTATTTGACATATACTGAATTTTATTGGGGGCTCAAATTTTATTTTACATTGTGCTCAATGAACACTTTTGAACCATACTTTAATTCTTGCCATATTTATTCTCTTTACAGATACATGGATCTGAGTAGAAGAATGCAACTAAATCAGATGTAGCTGATTCTTAATAAAATTTAAAAGAATGTATGTTTTTTTAGTATAACCAAAAAGGGGAAATAGTTTGTCCAAACTTGAGTTCAAACATTTATTCCATTTGGTTCAGAGCTTTTAAAGAAAGGGAAACGAGTATGTAATTTTAATCTTCATTTGCTAGCATCGTAATTGCATGATTTCAGTCAGTAAGCTCTTGCATATATGCATCTATTTTTTCACCAAAAGTACTTGCTTATAAATGAATAATAGGCATACAAGCATTTTTTCTCTCTGGTTCTGACTGCAGTAGATCTGATTTGAAAAACATCTGACTCCTAACTAGTGGGAGGCTTTCCAGAAGGTAACTGATGTTCCAAACCCATTCCCTTTTGCAGGACTATTTTATGAAAAAAAATCTATGACTACTATGTGTTCCCCTCTCATCCTCTCACTCCCATTGTAGCAATTAGTTGTGCTTATAGTGCTTAGTCATAGCAGTCAGTATCTCCACAGACTTGTGTTTCCACTGGATGAAGTTCATCAATATAAGGATAACTGTAATGTTTGTGGTCATGGGGTTTGTTATAAATATCCAAAAATGAGAAGCTTTGCTTACCTGCAGTCAGACACAAATACTTATAGCAAACTCTACACACATTGCGATAAAAGTAACAGGTTTGTTTTTTCAGCTGGTCTATGCATATTAGGCCTTATTTCATGCCTTTTTCAAAATAATCTTCCCAAATTGACAATAGATTATGTCATGGCCATCCTTTTTTAACTGGGGTAGCCCAAATGAGATGTTTCAGTATGCATTTGCACACACATATATACATTTACACATGTATATATACACAAACCCACACGCACACGCACACGCACACACACACACACACACACACACACACACACACACACACACACACACACACACACACACACACACACACACACACACACACACACACACACACACACACACACATATATATAATTGCATGGCCAATTGACACCTGGTGCCTGTATGCTTTGGTAGTCTCTATTTCAAGGCATCAGTATTTTTGTTTCCTATTGCTGGTAGTTGTGGCAGATACCTCCACCTACCACTTGCATAGACTTATATGTTAGCCATTTTAGTGTCTGTTGTCTGTCTTTTCTTAAGTAGTTGTTTCATCCTCAAGACTTAATCCACTTAATAGTTGTTATTAATAGTACTGATAATTATGGTTAAAAATAATAATCATCATCATCATAAACATTAACGATAATGATTATAGATATTTAAAAAAATCACAAAAATAAATAAGGAGTCAAGTAAGGTCAACAAGGTTTAGTCATTAGGGAAGTATTTGTGGAGCTATTATATGCTAAGAAAAAAATAAACCAAAGTAGTAACATTCCTGGTGTCATCTGGGTAAATATACCATTTTTGCCTTAATTACCTACATTTAGTTCAATACCTAACATGTGTCCCTTCTCAGAATGATAGATATTGGGGTGGTAATTAGAGTGGCTAATCAGCTTATGAGAGTAATATATACCACTTCAGCCCAACTCCTGGACATGCTACTGCAAGTAGCTCACAAAATGGAGAAGATTGTGAACATAAGCATAAAGATTTCATGTAGATAATACAACATGCAAGTTTTTATCATAATTATGAAAACCGACAGGATGCAGTGTGTGCAGTATTCAGATACACTAAGTTATACAGTACATGTTAATCAAGATACAATTGGGGACAAGTTGTACCTTATAAAAATATATATATATATATACTATACACATACTTCTATATATTCATTAATATCCTCACTCCATCTTGAAAATCATTAATTCATAAATACATGAATAATAATTTCAAAAGTGCATTATTTTGTTTGATGTGAAACCATACAAAGAAAACGTAGAAATCATAAATATAACTAGATTTCATGTAAATGTATAAAACTAAAACTTTCCTTGAGCAGCACACTCAGCATTAGCCTCAGAATAACCTTTGGTCTTGTACAGCTGTTGCCCCTTCTCCCCCATATTCAATGACCCAAGCATTCCTCATCTACTTTCAACTTGAAAGCTTATTGCTTTGTATCACAAATGAGCACAGTTGCATTTTCTTAAATACAATCATGATTCTGATTTTAAAGTTATTGAACATAATGGCCTTATATAGCAAAAATACATGCCCTGTTCCCTTACTTTAGTTTATTAGTTGTTTACACATATATCGCTTCACACGTGCTTAATCACTAAGGAATCAATTATTAGTCCAACCTATCACCTGTTTACACTTTTCCTTGATTTATTTTTTTATTATTGGTATTCTAATAACATAATAATCATAATGTCAATAAAAGTAATAACTATACTGATGGTAGAAAGATGAAATCAGAGGATTTTGAAAAATCTCATTTTTTGAAAAATATAATTTGTGCATTGTAGGTTTTCCTATCATGGTATCAGCACAGTATATAAAGTGTTTTTGCTATTCAACAATATTACATTAAAAGCATAAAAATCCTGCTAGCTCACCGAATAGGGAAACCAAGAGTTAAATGACTTTGGCTGCTTGCTGGCTAAGCACTTGTGGAGCCACTGCATACACCCAGGATCAATGAGCTGAAATGCTGGAGAAATGGCAAACTGAGAACTGGAACCAATGTAAAATAATGTGTGGTAATGGCCAATAGATGACTGCTACTGCTTTTTTTCTCAGTATTATGTAATATCAGAGTTGAAACAAGTTTTACCTATAGTCTTATGGACAGTTTCCAAGGCAATGTTTCATTGATATATATTAGATTGCAAAATTTGGAAATATGCAATATCAAATCCAATAACTCCAGGAGATGAAAGAAAAAACAACCATGTACCAAAACAACATTTATCATAAATAATAAATAAGAATGAATCACACTACTGTAGCTCTATAATCTTTTCCTTGTGAATCACTTTCTTTTTTTTCATCACTACATGAGAACTTCAGGCGATAACAACTAGAAAATTAGTTTTGCTGCAGAATATTCCTGGCATCAGTAATCATATCAAAAGTCTCTCATCCAATGTTGATTGTATATGCTCTATTACACCCTCAGTGCTATATGATAGATGTCTAGCACATTTATATACAACCATTAACCATTCTGTTACACTCTATTGGTGCCCAACTAAACTTTTCAAAATAAAAACATATACAAATGGTAAAAACTATGTTGATACTATGGTAGAAACACCCACAATTCTCAAACAAGATTTACTGACATCTATATCTCAGGTTGCACAAAACATCCCTTGCTGCTTTAGGAATGCTCTAACAGGATTTTTTTTTTTCACTTTTATCATTAAAAAACAATCAACAAAATACCTGCATGTAATTTCAACAAAAATTCACCCCAAAGTGCATAAAGCACTTGAATTTCAGGGAAAACACTAAAAGCCTTGATAACCGGTGGTATGCATAAATTCCTGACATGGGACCACTTGATGTTTCATCAAATGAGTGCCTTTTTTTAACAAGTTTTTTTTTCATACAAAAAAAAGAGATGTAGCTAAAGAGGCTAAGGAATGGTACAGGGGAACACATTCAGACTAGTTTGCTGACAAAAAATGCACTTATACTTGAACAAATCCCATAAGTTTTTTTGTTTTTGTTTTTTATAGAGATATAACAATTGTTTTTAAAAAATTACAGGCAGGTCATATACATCTTGATTCTTTCTAACTATATAATTGGATTTGAAATTGCTTTAGCTGATATCTCTTCCTGCTTGCTCTACCTATAGCAGACAATCTAAATGTTACACCCATCTTCTACCACACCTTCTCCTCCTCTACCCCTCAGATGCCATCTGCTCTTCTCCCCCATATAAGAAAACCTTCCTAACCTAATCCACTTCAAAAACTCTTCAAGACATTCAAATCTATCTAATCATGACTAAAGATAACAAAGTAACTGCCGACATCCATTCTCCTCCTATTTGTGTTCCCCCTACACCTCTTCCTCCTACTCTCTCAACACATCCCATTCCCCCCTGCTTCATCTGCATCATCCCCCTTTCCTTCCCCATTATCCCTTCTGCTTCCTCTTGGATACATGTGACTCTTTGTCACAACCCCTTTCCCTGGATTCTTTCCCACTGACTTTCTCCTGAAACTGTGATCTAATCCCCCTGAAACCCCCTTTCTCCTTTTGCCAATCCGTACCTCACCCTACGGACATCCTTGGAGAATCACACACTTTGATCTAATCACTTTTGTTAATCAACCTTAACCTAGCTACTTAACCTTACCCACACCCCTCTTTGCCCCTTTCAATGCCATACTATCCTGAACTGCTGTTCAAATTTTGATATATTGCAAATTTAATCATTAACTTTCCCTTCTCTTTACTCTTTTCTCTATTACACCTTTCTTGTGCTGTATGACCTTGATATCTGGCACATTCATTTTACTTTGCAACTATTAACCATTAACCATTTAGTTGATATTAATGGTTAATGGTTAATGGTTAAGATAAATGTGCTAGACATCTAAGGTCATATAGCACTATAGGAAGGTATAGTAAAGGGGGATGTCAGGTGATAGTTGCTATGTGTCAACTATCTAGAATAGTGTTGAGAGGTTGAAGATGAGGGAAAAGATTATGGTGGTTTAGGTAAGGGAGTTAGATCAAATGAAGGATATTTATGTGTCTGAGGAAGGAGAACAGGTTGTCGAGGCAGAAGCTGTGAGATTCTGTAAGGATGTCTGATATGTTGGGAGGTCGGTGAAGGGAGGATAGGTGTGGAAAAGCAGAGGTACGTGCTGTATTAAAGCGTGGACAGGACAAAAGAATGTGTGGGACTGAAAGAGGGATGTTACATAGAGGACATAGGGGCGGGTCTGAGCGTGACATCAGATAGGCATGTGTTAGGCGAGTGTGGCCAATACATAATCGTGCGAGGGCAGTCTCCCAACGTCTGTTTTTTGTGAAATGGAGCTGACCAAGAGGAAATTGATGGTTTTACGGTATGTAATTTATTGTTGTGGAGTCTTGACCAAAAAAATTGCCAT